GCATAGCACTGTCTGGGCATAAAAAGAATCTAGAGATAAGTATTGAGTATCTCAAGTTCTAAGTTCTAACACCTACCATGCATACAAATCTGCAAGTGCAATATTACTAGGCAAAATTCAGGGAAATAATGTACCTTTGTCCTTGAGACTTGGGAAGTTGGACAGATGATCGATAGGATGCTGCAGTGCAGGATTGGTGGAGGAAGTTGGTAAAAAAAAAGGCAAACTAGTAAGCTAGAAAGCTCTCAGGTAAACTAAAAAAAATACCACGTAACATCTCATAGCAAATTTGAATTTACCAAAATCACAAGCTATCAGTGGTACACATGCTGGTCAAATTTGTTCCATTATTAACATATTCACAAATTTGCTATGAGATGTTAGACTCGATTGAAACTTGACTCTTATAAATGAGATACATCAAACATAGAACATTAGAACTAGATTCACTAGTGGTGTTGCCTTCTGTGTAAATTACCTGTAGCACCTAAGAACAATTTGATGCCCTGCTGCTAAGCTTTAGCTGCAGAAGTACTAGTAAGAGAATATGAAGGCACAGTAAAGAGCAGAAGGATGTACAAAGAAAGCAAATAAGCGCCTTCAACTTCCTGAACCATTGGAAGAGCCAGGGAGCCTTTGATCCTGCTGCCTTGCGCTGATTGCCTGTAGTTTTTTATAACCTTCCAGTGATTACACGACCCACTTAATTGTAGCAACTAAAAGTCCAAGCGATAGCATTTCATGTATTTATAATTAAACTACTGTCATTTTTTTATTGCACCACCCATCTAAGGTTATCAGTACATGGCAAATTGCTCTACAGAAACTGAATCTATGCAATCAACATCTACGTGTGAACACAAATCACTGAATGCTACTGCCTATGCCATATTGCTGAAAAACATATTCAGAAGATGTGTGGCAAACTGTTTTTTTTACGGCAAATAGTAGCAGAACTACAGACATCTGTCGGCCCTCCCGACGTGCGAGGGGGCTCACCAGGCGCCGCTGCTATGTGTGGAACGGGAGAAGTGGAGGAGTCGGAGTAAGGATGGCAACGGATCGGGTTTGGGGCGGATATCCGCAGGTTTCGGGTTCTGCGGGTTCGGGTTTGGGGATGGTTTTTCACCCACGGTTTTCGGGTTCGGGCCCCGAAACCAATCGGGTTCGGTTTCGGGTTTGGTTTTCCACCCGTGGATATCCAATGGATATCCGAAATAAATCATTTGGAATTAAAACTCATGTTTTATAATATACTAATAATAATTTGTTTACTTAGATTATTAAATTTATTTAAAGTTGACTCATGAAAATATTTATTATTTGTTGCCTCTTGTTTATACATGTGAATATGTGTATATATATATCTGCGGGTTTCGGGTATCCATTCGGGTTTCGGGTATCCGTTCGGGTTTCGGGTATCCGCGGGTTTGGTTTTGGTGATGGATTTCCACCCGAATCGGTTTTCGGGGCGGATTCGGGTTTCGATTTCGGGTTTCGGTTTTGGGTGCACGGAGACTCCACCCGATCCGAATCCGACCCGTTGCCATCCTTAAGTCGGAGGAGGGATGAAGAAAGAAGCTAGGGTTTAGGAAGCCGGGACGACCCATGTTTTGACCAGCTAAGGGTGTGATGTGAGCCGTCCGATCTAATCAGACGGTCAAGAGAGCTACACGGACGAGTGGGCCAAACAGACCAGGCAGGGGGAGATGGAGGGCTGAGCTAAATAAGGCCAGGTCAATATTTTTTTATAAATATTATTTCAAAATATGAGAACTATGATAGAATTTTTGGATAGCAAACGACTTCAAATGAAAAAGTCATAAACCACAAATTTGTAAAACTCATTAAGATCTACAACTTTTATTTTGGTCATTACTCCATTGGACTTTGTTTGAATAATTCAAATTTTGAATTTGAAAAAATAACAACTTCAAACAATATTTTGAAATAGCAAACGATTCCAGCTGAAAAAGTCATCAACAACAAAGTTGTACAACTCATCGATATCTACAACTTTTATTTTGATTATTTCTTCATCCAACAAAGTGGTACTATACATTGTTCACAAATCCATAAATCTCTCACATAGGTTATGAAACTATACGAGAGATATGTCAATTTATGAACAATTTTACTACCACTTTATCGGATGAAGCAATGACCAAAATAAAAGTTATAGATCTTGATGAGTTCAACAACTTTTATGTTCATGACTTTTTCAGCTGAAATCATTTACTGTTTTAAAATGTTGTTTGAAGTTGTCATTTTTTGAAATTCAAATTTTGAATTGATAAAACAAAGTCACATGAAAACATGACCAAGATAATAGCCGTAAGAACACAATAAATTGATAGAGCATGATTTTAGAAAATTTTAGGGAAAAACATCAAATTTGGAGTTAGTACGAGGGTGAAAGACTAGTTATAAATTTTAGAGAGAGATTAAAATGAAAAAATGCGCTTGTTCATGTAAAGTTAGTATGAGGGCGTTTGTTCTATTTTTCTGTGTGTGTTTACTTTTTTCTGTGCGTTTTGTAGAAACCCACAGAATAATTATAATTTTTCTGTGTGTATTGGCACACACAGAAAAATCATGCAATTATTTTGTGGTTTTCGTATTTTTCTGTCGGTTTTTTGAACCCACACTTTAATTACTAATTTTTCTGTGAGTATCGAAAAAAAACACACAGAAAAATTTATCACCCACACGAGTATTCGAGTTTCCAGTAGTGTACCTTCGCCCTAGAAATGTGCAATTCTAAGTTTGGTAAAAGTCAAACTAACTTAAGTCTAACCAAGTTTATGGAAAACGGTATCAATTTTTAAGACCTTACATAGATATGTATTATGGAAATATATTTCGTGACATGATATTTCTTTAGTGTATGATAAGCATTAACATTTTTTATATGAACTTAATTAATCAAACTTAAGATAGTTTAACTGAGCATTATTCTAGAATTATATTGTTTCTAGACTGAGGGTTGAGGCAGTCTATTCGAAAGCTTACCTAGCTACAAAGAGAAAGTAGTTGCATTGTACTATGCATGTGTGTTCACGACAAAGCGTGCAGCAGATCTATCGACTGGAAGGTGGCTGTACACATATCACATGGCACAGCTAACCTGGACCACAAATTAAGCGTGTGTACAAGCAAACAACTCGATCGATTGCGAATGTACGCGCTGTGCTCTGGTCGCTGACTGCAAGCGGAACGATGCCGACGGCGACCATCGTTCCTGCTCCAGCGGCGGCCGTGCAATGCATGCAGACGCAGACACCGGAGTTGACATCACAACCGCTCGTCACTCGATCTGGCAGCTTCTTGCTTGGTCTCCTCGGTCCTCCCGGTCCGCTAGAATAGATCATCAGTTTCCAGGAGATTTTAGTCCTTGGGCGCGTGCCAAAACTTTATGGGGGTGTTTAAAGCGTTTGGTTACACTACTTGGCACACCTAAATTAATTTGGTTCATTGTGGCAAGTGTGGGTAGTGTTTGATTTCGACCACAAGAGTTTAAAGTTTGGGGAAAAATGCGGTAAAGGTAATTTGTTTAGTAGTGATGTGGCAAATGCTTGGTTTGTAGCTAATAAACTTGGACGCTATTCGGTCAAGTATACTTGTCATCGTTGATTTTGTACGGTCTTACAATAGCATATCTTTGACTACTATTTTTTGGGTGGATGGATCCATGTTTCGAGTAGCAGTAGCGAGAGCTCCAGCCCACCCGGCCCACTCCGGTGGTACACCGGCCTTGTCTTCCACTGAATGTTACTATCTTCCATTAACAATGCAAATCATCTGTATAATGCTAGTTGTTTTTGCCATTCCATCATCTTACGTGTCCACCTAATAGTTTTTTATTGGCTTCTTTGATTACTTTGCCTAATTTCTTCTAGAACCCAACCCAGTACAACAAAAACTCTCCCAAGATAGTAGCATTGAGATGGCTTATTAACCCGTTACTAACCAAAACATTCTTATGAAACCCTTGGATTTAGATACAAATTAAATACGAGAGACAGGCCAAGAAACCGTGTAGCATGAACCGAGATCTGGTTTTAAAATCATAAATTTCAGTTAAACATGCAATAGCGTTAGAGTATCCACAAATATATGATTGTTTTAATAGAACCGATATAGTTAGGTTTATTTCCATACGACCCTAACTTATCTTATACTCCGAGACAACCCTTTTTATTATTTCTATATATAATCCGCCTAACGCCTACTATCCACTGTTCTATTGATTCTAATCTCCTATAAGGAGCAACCTCTAAAATGGCTTCTTGATGTTTAGCGCAAGCGTATTACTAAGCATATTCAATGAAGGCCCTAACTATGCTCCTGTACAAGTGAGAAAAACAGAATCTATGTAAGCAACCATTGATTATTTTTTTTGAGTCTATAAACCTTGATTAAATTGATTCGGCTTAAGTTTTGATCTTCGCTCAATTTTTTTCTCTCCTGCATTCACCCCTAAAACGTGCAATGCGCAGTGTGTTCGTGGGCTGGCCAGTTGGGCTGTTATATTTTGTGCAAAGTTTCGGACGGTCCATAAACTTGGGCCCGTTCCAGTTGGGTTTAGTTTGGCTCTTCTTTCCCCGTCCACCGACTTATTAAACAAAAGAAAAGAAAAGAAAAAGCCTCCCGTGGCCTTCTTCTCCCTCGTGCCCTTCTTCTTTCCTGGCGGCGACGGCTCGGCGAGGCGGCGCGACCCGTTCCCAGGTCTTCGCCGGCGGCGAGCATCCACCAGGTACGCCCCTTCCCTTCCCCTTTCCTCGCCGTTCCTTACTTTCCCTTTCCGCTGTCCGAAACGGAGCATCCCAAACCCTTAGTAAGCTATTTCTATTCGAATTCGAATCTGACCCAAATACACGCATATACATATACCCAAGTGCTATTGTGGATCCACCCCAGCTCTTGTCTCACATCACGATTTGTGTACTTTGCAGGTCGACCAGAACTCAGGAGTGGGGAATCGGTGAGCAACTGCAGCCATGTCCGTGGCGGCCGGCGTGAGCGACGCGGCCATCGCGGTGCGCGACAAGCTCCGTGGAAAGATTGGCCAGACCAAGGTCAAACGGTACTGGCCGGGAAAGCCGCCTGAGTGGGCTGACGACGCCGATGAGGACATCGATCTCAGGACGACACGGGTCGACAAGGCGTTCCCCAAGGACGACGACGGCGATGTCCCCGCGAAGGATGACCGACGGCTTCGCCGTCTCGCGGAGACTCGCGCGGAGAACAAGGAGGAGCTGAGGGCAGATCACCGCCGCATACGGCAGGCGGAGATTGTGTCGACCGCGGAGGAGGAGAACGAGAGGCAGGAGGCTGACGTCGATGAGGAGGATGAGGAGGCACAGGAGGAGAGGAGGAGGAGGATAAGGGAGAGGCAGCTGTTGAGGGAGCAGGAAGAGCTGCTTCCTCAGGAAGAGGAGGAACCGGTGGAGGATGAGGAGTCTGAGGAGGAGTCGGAGTATGAGACGGACTCTGAGGATGAGCAGATGGGCATGGCCATGGTGAAGCCTGTGTTCATACCAAAGTCACAGAGAGACACCATTGTGGAGCGTGAACGGCTGGAGGAGGAGGAGCGGCAGCTCGAGGAGCTGGTCAAGAAGAGGCTAGAGGCTAGGAAGATTGAGACTAGACAGATTGTGGTTGAAGAGATTAGAAAGGAGCAGCACATTGAGAAGGCGCTGAATGAAGAGGCCAACATTGAGGATGTCGATACAGACGACGAGTTGAATGAAGCAGAGGAGTATGAGGCATGGAAAAACAGAGAAATAGCAAGAATTAAGAGGGACAGAGAGGAAAGGGATGCGAGGTTGAAGGAGAAGGAGGAGATCGAGAAGGTCAGGAATATGACCGAGGAGGAGCGTCGGGAATGGGAGCGGAAGAATCCGAAGCCACTTCGTCAGACAACGAAACAGAAGTGGAATTTCATGCAGAAGTATTACCACAAAGGTGCTTTCTTCCAGGAAGGTGCTGATGATGTTATCCAGTCAGCTGGTAAAGATGATATCTACAGCCGTGATTTCTCTGAACCCACTGGTGAAGATAAGATGGATAAGAGCATCCTGCCCAAGGTCATGCAAGTTAAACATTTCGGGCGCAGTGGCAGAACAAAATGGACACATCTTGTTAATGAGGACACTACAGATTGGAATGCACCGTAAGTACATATGTCTGTTGCATCGTTATTTACTCTCGTGATATTATTCAGTTGGCTTGTTTAGTATTCTTGCAAGTGCTTTCATTTCTAATTTCCTAGTGAAATTTTGATGGGCTGAAACCTAATTATTTTGGATGCTTTTAATTAGGAAGTCCAATGGAGGCCCCCTGACATAACTATTGTAGCTTTTGAGACAGAATTTGACTGCAGTTCTTTGATCTGCTAATTCGTCAATACCTCAAAGCTTAGTACATATCTATCAATTGAATTGCTTCGAACATTTGCTGTATGTTGGTCTTTTATAACAGGAAAAAAATCTGTACTGAGTCTGGACTAATAATTTCTTAATGATTTTTTCAGATGGTCAACAAATGGGCCTCTGCGAGCAAAGTATAATGCAAAAATGGCTGGCATGAATGCGCCTATTGCTAAACCAAAGGGAAGTAAGAAGCTGAAGGACTGGGATACAAAATGAGATGCCAGGTGAGCTGGCATTGTCTAAACCTTATTGCCATACAAGCACTACTGCCAACAAGTGCAAACAATACTTATGCAGATGCTTTCTTTTCATTTTGACTGCATAAACCATGTGACCTTATGTGCTATAATCTGTTAAAGTGTCCCACTAGTGTGATGTAATGATCCATGAATGATCATTAATATTGCTTTCTTTGATGTTTTATCAGAAGCGTATCCCATGTGTATTTTTCCTCGAACAGCGCTGGAGAGGTGTCTGTTATTTTCATTAAGAAGAAAGAGTACCTTATCTGAACATTGTTAAAAATGCGGTTGTTACAGTGTTTCCAAATTTCCCAAGCAACTGAAAATGATCAAAGTGTTGTGGTGCTCCTTGTCCGAACCCCTCATTTCACCATCCTGAGAAGAAATTAACATCCTGTTGTGGTGAGAGAGTATGCAAACCAAATTTCTGAAAAACAGTGAACCACACTGCCCTTGCGAGTTGTGACCACACATGAAATCAGCATATAGTTAATGGTTTCTGGGGCTTATCACAAAGTGGATGTGCTGCCGGGTGTGGTAGTTCCAGCTTTGATAGCCTCTCAGACGTCCAACAGCAATTAAGGACCTCAAACCAAATGAAAATCTTGCACCTTAAGGGGCCCAAGACTGCCAAATCCTCTTCCATGGAGTGAACCTAATCGTCCCAAAAAAGAATTCATTATAGGCAGATTTGCTAGAGTAGGTACCAGAGCTAGTAAGCTTCCAGATCGCCAATCCTGAACATCTGGTTGAAGGTGAATGTTTTCTGAAATTTCCCATAAGTGGAGATATTCCACCAGGACAGTGACAGAGAGAGGTCCTTTAATATCGCCCACCCAACACCAGATGTCCAAGGTTCCCTGCACTGTTCTCTTGTTGATAATTATTTGAGGGATCATTGCAAGAAGATTAGGTGCAATCTCAGCCATAGTCTTTCCTTGTATCCATTGATCAAACCAGAATTTGATATTGGAACCATTACCCACATTTTTTTGGTCATGGCCATGGCAAATAAAAGCGTTTTATAACAAAAACTCGGTTGGTCGGGGAAGATCATCCCCATGGCATTTCATTAAGAGGAACTCAGCCTTCACTTAACCGAGAAACCCTCTGAACCCCTGACAGTGCAGACCCAAATTTTGGGTTGCAAGCAAGAGAAATTTTGCAGCCCAGCCCCAAAATTCATCCCGTGGGGCATCCAACCCAGGTTGCTGGGATGCTACTAAGGAGCGGCGACCAACTGAGTTTGGGTCCCTTTCAAAAATCTCATCTTGGTGAACCTGAATCTGAAAACCTGTGCATGGTTTGGTTGGGTCTGTTTTTTTCTTCTTGCCAGTCATCCGATACGCATCACCCAGCACATGAGAGACAGATCATGGATTCCCAGCCTGCCGTACTGGGTAGGTCTTTGAACCCTTTGCCATGAAACCAAACAATTGCCACCATTATCCTGTTCTTGACCCTTCCAAAGAAACCCTCTTGTTCTCTTGTCCATTAGAAAAATAAAGATCATTGGAGAGAGTGGATTGCCCTGACGGAGGCCACGCTGGTGAATAATCTCCTTTTCCTGTATCCCCATTTACATGCATGTGCTAAGGAGGTTGCGCCAGTGTCGTCCAAAACCCAATTTGATCAAGACTTTCAGCATAAATGCCCAGGACACTGAATCAAACACCTTGGAAATGTCCAGTTTGAGGAAAACATGAGGTTCCTTTTGTCTATGTAAACATTTCACAGTTGTGCTGGAGTGCTGGATATCTTTCCACTGATTTGGGATGACATGCCGAGGATTGGTTAATTCTGGAGATAACACATATGTCCTCACTCTTTTTATTTTTCGTTTACTTGGGGATTCTGGGAGATAACACATGGAGTCTGCTTGGTGCATCTGGAATGAGAGGAGCGCTTTCATCTTCGAGGGCACTGCTACTAGTTTGAGCTCCTGGAAAGCTGCTCACAAATGGGAAATCTTGTTACACTTGTTCAGAATTTGGAAGGAGCTTCATCAAAGCATTTTGGTCTGGCTTAGCAGTCTTTAGGTTTTGGTAGTTTTTTTTTGTTCTATCCAGTAGCTAGGTTTTCTTTTCTTTCTCTCTTGTTTTCTTCTTTCTCTTGCGTGAGTGTGTTTTTGGGGTTGGCCACCTTCTTGTTGGCCTTGTTCTCTTGTTTGTTTGGCTTCAGGTTTCAAGGTTTCAGTTTTTTTTTTTAAAAAAAAGAAACAAAATGTAGATTGAAAAAGTATTTCCCAAGGATTCAACTGACGTTTTATCCAAAAATTCTCTGTCTGCAGAGATGGGGGACTTTGCGGACCGCTTCTGACAAGCTTCACCTTGAAGAATTATCATAAAAAAAAAAACCCCGGAGATGGCTGGAAGTTTTTAGGAGTAATGATAACAATGACCAAGCAAGACCTAGTGTTTTTTGTAGTTTTTTGTGTTACGCTGAAGTGGTTTGCATAGTGTTCTCTGCTCTGTGAGTAACCTGTGCAATGTGCGCTGGCAACCCATGGTTCTTGTAACTGAGTTCTTTACCCTTTTTCTAAAAAGAGAGAGGAGATATTATCTTGAATACACCTTCCCCCGAACAAAGGCTATTTTGGTTTACTGAGACCAAGGTGGACAAAACTTTGGAACCAGCTGATTTGACAATACTGATTTCAAAGTTATTAAGGCGCTGCCTAGGTGTCCGAGCGGTTTTTGAAATGCGGCATCCTGTTCGGGTATGGTGTCTGTTGTGAAACGGCACCCCCTGGCCGAAGGGACACATCTATCCAAACGACATTGTTTCACAGGGATGATCTCATCCATTGATAGAGGCAATCCATTGATAGAGGCAGTTAGGATTAGTATAGACAGTTAACCATTGTCACCAAAGGGACATGTCCTTTGGACACTAACAGTTGTGTCCGTACGGACACACCTCTTCACTTTGTATATATATATATAAGAGATCAATGAAAGCAGTTGAGTTGTTCACAAATCTTGTTCATTTTCATTCACTTTCAGACGCCCGGGGATCCGCCGGGGCACTTGGAACCCGGCCGTGCTCGGCCTCCCGTCGGCGGAGGTGCTCGGCAGCGGCTTCTACTCCCCCAACGAGGGGGAGTCCTCGATCTGAAGATGGCGAGCATGGGCGGCGCAGTGGACAGGAGCGGCGAGGTGGTTTGCGACGGCGACGGTGGCCTCCGAAATCGGCAGCGGCGGCGAGCGGTTAGGGTTTCAACCCTAACTGCTGACCGGACCCTCTTTTATGGGGCTGCTGCGCACGCGGGATGGGCCGGCCCAAGGCCGGTGCCCTGGCCTCCCTCCACTCCCTGTGCCTGCCCGAATGGGCCAAGCTGGGCCGAAAATAAAAAATGGGTTCAATCCCATTTCAATGGCCTGCCTGGCTCCTTTTTCTTCTTTTTATTTATTTTCAGCATTAATTCGTCAATGACTATGTTAGTCTCTTATAATTATGTGCTGTAAAATTAAATACTCTTGTGTTTAGTCACTGACTTTAACTATAGTTGTACTTGTGATATTTTATCATTATAAAATATCCATTTATGATATTATTCAAAGTATTTGTCCCTGTATGTATGGCAAATCCAATAAATAATATCCTTGTTATTACGACCATGCTGTTCATAGGATTTCCTCAAAGTTGCAATTCTGCGAGAAAGAACCTACAGATGCGGATAAAATAGAAAATACTCTGTCTACTATGCTTCCCTCTGAAAGGATTCTTCATCAACAATACCGTGAAAGACGTTTCCAGATTTATTCTGAGTTTATACAAACTTTACTTGAGGCCGAAAAACATTCTGAACTTATGGTTTGGAATAATCAGCAGCGCCCCGTAGGGTCTGCTCCATTGCCTGAAGTACATGCTTACACTCAGAATAAATCCAAATTTGATGGTGGACTTTCTAAGACCCATCCTCAGGGAAATTCCAAGAAAGATAAAAAACAATGCAGACGCAATAAGAAATCCCAAATTCGTGTTTCCAACGAGGATAAGAACATTTTCAAAAACAGGAATGACAAACCTGTGTGTCAGAAGTGTGGTTGTTATAGCCATATTACAAAGAAATGTCATATCCCAAGTCATCTCGTTGATCTCTACTTAAAGTCTGTGGGTCGCGGACGTGCTGCACCAGGACAGAAGTATGAAGCCCACTTCAACATTCGACCTGACACCACCAGGAATGAGGCTGGTTGTTCGCAACAAGTTCCAATGGAACCAAGCAGCAACAACATACGAGGAGGCGAGAATCTTGTTGATACGGGGAATATGATCGTGGAATATGCATCCAACAACATATATGGAGACTTTGAATAGGCTCCCAATCCCTTAGATTCTAGTGTCTTTATGTCCTAATGATTATAATAGTTAAAATAATTTATGTCCTATGTGTTGTAAATATATAATAATGTCATCACTATTTGGTTTGAATATCCAATAAATATAATGTAAACATTTGATATTCAATAAATAACGTATGTATTCTATATATCATCAAAGAGTTTCATATCAAAATCTTTATTTATATATAGTTTCTACGGGGGTCAATCTGATGGAGGAGGAATTATGCCTAGTGGACAGTGGTACCACTAATTCTATACTTAGAGAAACAAAGTATTTCGAAACTCTTACAAAAAGACAAGGAAATGTTTTGACAACCGCCGGACGCGATGCTATGATAGTTGGTTCTGGTCATGCCACTATTGTACTCCCCATGGGTACCCAAATTACAATTGATGATGCATTATTGTATCCCGATTCAAAGCGTACCTTGTTAAGTTATAGAGATATCCGTCAAAATGGTTTTCATATAGAAACCCGTGATGACAATAATGAGGAAATTCTCTTCGTTACTAAAAATAGCGGATATGACAAACGAATTGTTGAGAAAATTCCCTCTTTTTCGTCCGGATTGTACTACACATACATCAAACCCGTACCGCATGTTGCGTACAAGGTAATTTTTAG